AGCAGAACAGAAACTAACTGAAATTTTCGTAAGTGTTGTATATATAGGACGGACCTTTAGTACCAGTTGGGGCCACCAACCGGTACTAAAGGTCAAATTTGGCCAGGCCAAGCGGCAGGAAGCGACCCCCTTTAGTATCGGGTTGTGGCTCAACCCGGTACTAAGACACCCCCTTTAGTACCGGTTGGAGCCACGAACCGGTACTAAAGTGGGTGCACTCCCATCCCGCGGTGCACAAAGTTTGGTCTCACCTCGCCGGGCGAAGGGCAGCCGCACTGGTTTATAAACCCAGCCACGGCTGCTCCTTCGAGCTCCTCTCTAAAGCAGGCTTCTGTGCCTAACTTTGGCGCGCTGCCCTATGAGCCTACTGGGCCTTATGGGTGTGCATATCCATGCCCAAAGCCATGCAGACCCACTGGGCAGCGACCAAATATTTTTTTATGTAGTTTTGTTTTCTTTCTGCTTTATTTATTTTCTTCTATTTATTTCTGAGTAGTTTTTTTGTTGTATTTAGAGTTTCTTTGTGAATATTTTTGCTTTAGGTACAAAAAATTACAAAGTTTCTTTGTGAATATTTTTGTTGTATTTAAAGAGTGTCCAGTTTGTACACGAAGTGTATCCAGTTTTTGCCGTAACCCTCTCTACTTTTTTGCACATGCCATTTGGATGAAATGATGATACCATGCCAAGTTTCAACCTTTTCAGAGTTCATTTGTAGTGCTTTACAATTTTAGGATTATTTAGCTAAAAACAAATCAGTAAATGCATGAAAAATAGCAAATGAAGGCACAAAGGGTTGAAAGTTGACGACGTGGGTTTGAATGGTGCATAATAAATGCACAAAAAGTCTGGAGTTGTAATAAGTTTAGAAAAATAAAGTGCCTTTGTAACAGATGAGTTTTCGTCCGAAACCCTGATACTTCGAAAGAGAGTGTCCAGTTTGTACACGAAGTGCATCCAGTTTTTGGTGTAACCCTCTCTACTTTTTTGCACATGATATGTGGGTGAAATGATGATACCATGCCAAGTTTCAACCTTTTCAGAGTTCATTTGTAGTGCTTTTCAATTTCAGGGTCATTTAGCTCAAAACAAATCAGTAAATGCATGCAAAATAGAAAATGAAGGCAGAAAGGGTTGAAAATGATGATGTGGCTTTGAATGGTGCATACTGAACGTAAAAAAGTATGAAGTTGTAATAAGTTAAAAAAATAAAGTGCCTTTGTAACAAATGAGTTTTCGTCCGAAACCCTGATACTTCGAAAGAGATTGTCCAGTTTGTACACGAAGTGCATCCAGTTTTTGTCGTAACCCTCTCTACTGCACATGCTATGTGGGTGAAATGATGATACCATGCCAAGTTTCAACCTTTTCAGAGTTCATTTGTAGTGCTTTTTAATTCCAGGGTTATTTAGCTCAAACAAATCAGTAAATGCATGAAAAAATAGAAAAATAAA